CTGATCATCAGAGAGGCTTTTCAAAGCATTTTTTAAAGAGCCTCTCTGACGATCCCAGCTGAGTTGCCTGATCGGCAGAGGCTTTTCAAAGCATTAGAAAAAATGCTTTGAAAAGTATTTTTTTTTTCAAAAAAGGTTGGCCACGACCACCCCAGTCACATTACCCCCCCCACCAAGCCACGCCCACAGAACCGGTAGTAACAAATTTTACATTTCACCCCTGCCATTAAACCACTGGGGGCTTCTGGCTCTCTTATCTGATCCTTTCGTAAGGAGCATCTCTTTCCCTCATTCTCCAATTCACATTTTCCATTACACAGCAGTGGAAAGGATCAAGATGATGGTTGTAATCTCTCTCTCTCTTTCTCTCTCTCTCCCCACAACACACACACAAAAAAAACACACATACATATATGCACAATATATACATACATGTATATACACAAATATATAATATATATATATATATATATATATATATATATATATATATATATATATATATATACACACACACACACACACACACACATACTGTATGTATATGCATATGTATATGTATATGATGTATATATGTGTGTATTTCTCTTTAGCCAGGTTCTTCCTACATAAACCAAGATTTTTCTGCAGCCCTAGTTCAGTGAAATCCCAAGGGATTTAGGGATTTAGGGATTTAGTTTCCCAAGGGAACTAGGGCTGCAGAAAAACTTGACATCACTCACATTGAGGGGCACCTCACCTCACCCAGCCTCTCCTCACCATGCCCAGCCCTGCCTCACCCCTCCCCTCCCAGCTACTCTTGCCATGCCCAGTTACTCACCCTACCGCCCAGGTGGGTAAGTGGCAGGGTGGCCAGGTGAGCAGGTGGGCGGTGAGGTGAGGAGTGGCTGGGAGGGGACGGGCGAGGCATGGCATGGCGAGACATGGCGAGGCACGCTATTTAGCCGGTTTGCCGAACTGCACAAAAAGTTAGCTACCAGTTCTACCGAACCTGTGTGAACTGGCTGAATCCCACCAATATATCTATCTGTCTATATCTATATCATCTATATCTATATCATCTATATATATCTCTCTGTTGTGTGTGTAACATACAGATTAATCTACCATTATCCGACATCAAAAGAGCAAATATGTGTGTGTGTGTGTGTGTGTGTGTGTGTGTGTGTGTGTGTAAGTGTGTGGGTGCATAAAATAAAATTTACTTTTATTTCCAAAAGAGGAGGAAGCAATTTCTTGGATGGGCAATTCAATTTTTTGTTTTGTTTTGTTTTTAAGCCAGTTATAGAGGAAATGTTCAGTAGACATTTTCTACTAATATTTCTAAAACCAGGGAAAATGTTTAGTAGATAATTAACTTTCCCTTGAAGAGTCCAAATTACTATAATGAGTTTACCTGCTTAAAGCTCCAGAGATTTTCCAGAAAGCAGTGAAAATTAGAAAGCATGGATGGAAGAGGTTATAAACTAATCATGGTCCCCATAAAGAACTTGGGGTGGTGGGAAAGGGGAAGAGTTAACAGGACTATTGGGTTCCTTTACTCCAACATCAGAATTGATCAGATCAATTTCAGATTTGGGTTGTAGAAATCTCAGTCATTACCCCAACAGATGTCTGTATGTCCATGGAATTTTAAGATTAATTTAGATTTAAGATTTCTCTTAGGAAGTGTGTTGGGAAAATCTAGTATGTTAAATCAGATCCATTGGTGTGGGTTGATATGTTGGAGACCTCTTTTAGAAGATTTTTGGGCTGTTGATGTATTATTCTTCCTGGTGTTCCCAGTTATCAAGGTGAATACACTCAACTGTCCAGAGGTCGACCCTTTTCCTATTCTACATGAATGGTACCAACCAGGTGACGTCATTATTGGAGGTGTGGTTTCACAAAACCTCTATCCCTTCAATGAACATTTATTCCGACGACATCCATTTCAGGAACTGCATGGAATTTCAAAGTAAGCAGGTCCTACACGTTGTTCCCTGAAATGACTACTTGTTTATCCTAAACTTTTCTCAATGTCCACATCAGATTCTTTGACTTACAAGGGTCTTAAAGAAGGCAGCTGAAGTTATAATATAGACCAAGCATTTATTGAATTTTTTGAGATTTCAAACCCCACCTCTCTGTACTAATGAGAGAATATTTATTCTATTTTGAAATATTTATTCTATTTTGGGGGGAAAAAGTGATGCAAACATGAATTTGGATGATCAAGGGATACCTAAATTATTAATAGTAGAGAACATTTGTAGCTCAGATTCAACTGTGCTGTTCTTGGTGCTCTGTTGTTTTTTGCAACTATTTTGTTACTTGATTAGGTAATATCTTTAGTGTCCTGAAGAGCATTTCAAACCACTGAATATGTTACCTTCTTACTTGGCAAAATATCTGAAAGGAAACAAAAATGCTCAGAGACCACCACAGGTTCCACAATACCTAGAATGTACAGTAGTGGCAAAAATTGTGGAAACCTTTTGGGAAAAGTGTATTTTCTAAAACTAGCTAATAACACCACTTTTTTTTGGAGTAGTACCATAAAATTATATATCAATGGAAAGATAGTTTAATCAAGAATGTAATGCAAGAACTTTTATGAAGGATTTGCTATTAGAGTAGCAGTTACAGTATAAAGAAGAAAAGTGAAACACGTAGAAAAAAAGAGATATACAAAAATGATCACCATAGAAAAAACGAGATACCCAAAAATTATCACCATATCAGTTAATACTTAGTTGGGTAAACTTTAGCATGAATTATGGCCTTACAACATCTTCCCATGGAGTGAACCAAATCTTTTAGTTCTGCAGCTGTTATAAGGTGAAACCAAGATTGAATGAGTGCTTCTATTAACTGGGTTTTATTGCTGGGTCACTTCTGACTAACAAGTTTCTTGAGTCGGTTCCATAGATTTTCAATTGGGTGAAGGTCTGGGCTATTCCCAGACCATTCCAGCAGTGGAATATGATTATCTTGAAACTCTAAAAGAAAAAAAAGTGGCGTTATTAGACATTGAACCTCAAAAATACACTTTTCCCAAACGGTTTCCACAATTTTGGCCACTACTGTAAATACATGAATGTGGGAATTCATAATATAAGAAGAAAATGTTCAAAAATAGGAGCTTCCTATTATATAAAAGAAGTATAAAATGGGAAAAACGTTCTTCCCAATTACCAGATTTCCAAAGAAGGAAATGGACGGGAAAAAATGGCTAAAAGAATGGTAAAATAAAGAAGTGGAATTAGTTTAGTTTCCTCTATATGAAACAGGGCACACAATCTTTCTCATTGGTCATTAATAGAAATCCTAAAAATATTAAGTAGCGTACTTTTTAATGAATGACTTCCATAATGCAGTGTATAATGCACAAGAAAATTTGAACCACGGTATTTTGAAGCAATATAAAAGGAATTTAACTTGATTTAATTTAATTCCAATCACAGGTACAAACAGCTATTCTTGATGATCCACTAATTTATTCACTGCAAAATTATTTTCTAAAAGACTTTTTTATTTGCAGTCTGATCACAAAATTCTATCAACATGTCCTTTCTTTGGTCTTTACTGTCAAGGAACTCAACGAGAATCCAGAAATCTTACCCAATATTAGTCTTGGGTTCCACATCTATGACAGCTACAATGATGCAAGGCTGACTTATCGGACCACTCTCGATTTACTTTTCAAATCAGATAGATTTCTGCCCAACTACAGATGTGGGCTTCAGAAAAATCTCATGGCCATCATTGGAGGACTTGGATCAGATACTTCATCCCATATGGCAGAAATTGTAGCATTCTACAAAATTCCACAGGTGGGTCAAAGGGATGAGGGAATTTTTATTCTTCTTAATTAGTTAAAAAAAAATAAGAGCCTTCTTAAGTATACAATCTCATGTGTTTATCCCCACAAAAACACAATTGGAAGCAAATCTGATTGCACACTTAACAAGAGATTAAAAATAAAATATTAGCTTGCACTGGTGAAGGTGGATTTAAACTTGCTGGTATTTGATCATGTTCCAATTAGAACAAACAATGACAGCCGCTGAAATTCAACTGCATTCTCACAATTCTCACAATGTTTTATTGGAATTCTTTTATAAATGATAAAATATATGGCAGTCTAGAAACATGACATATGAAATAATAAACAAACAAACACCTAGGTTAAACATCCAAGAAGCAGGTAAAGATTTAAGAGAGGAATTTGGGAGGCAAGTCAAAAAAAAAGAATAGCAATTAAAGTATTGAAGCGGGCAAGGGACGATGGATAGATGATTTCTTTTTTTATTTTTATATTGTTGTTTTTATCCACTCTTCTTTTTTCTTATTTTCTTATTTTAAAGCATAGCAATTAAAGTATTGAAGTGGGCAAGAGATGATAGATGGATGATTTTTCTTTTCTGTTGTTGTTCCGAGTTGTTTTTCCTTTTCTGTTTCTCTCTCCTCCTTTTTCTTTTTTTAAGTAGGTGACTAGAAGTTAGATAAGAAAGAAAGGAAAAGTCTCTTAACAAAGGGTGATATGATTAAAAGCTAGAATAAGTGATAGAAATAAGAAAAGGGGGAATATTATTATATACATTTTTATATCATAAAGTAATAACAAGAGAAAATGTGGAATAATTGAACAATGATAGACTATAATTTAATATAACTATGTATTATTATTAGAAATATATAAGCAATTGAATGTAAGGATTATGATTAACTTGATTAATTTTATTTGTATTAGAATGTATGACACTTGGATGCCATACTGTTCACACATTGATTTGATATTTTGATAAAAAATAAAAAAACTTAAAACAACCACAACAAAAAATAAACAAATAAATTTGACTAGGTTTTAAACTAATTCATGAAGAGGAAGAGACAAAACAAAACAGAACACATTATCCAAATCCTCTGATGAATATTCTTTCCTTTTCTTTTAGTTGCCATATGGATCCTTTCCCCCAAAAGAATTTCGTATCAGTAGGTTATCTTCTTTTTATTTTATGGCCCCAAATGAGGGTCCTGTATACATTGGGATTATCCGATTGCTTCAACATTTTGGATGGAAATGGGTTGGGCTCTTTGCTGTGGAAAATGAGAGTGGAGAACACTTTTTGAAGAAGCTACAGGTGATGCTTTCCCAGCATGGAATATGTCCAGCCTTCATAGAAAGAATCCCTCTGCTGCTTCCATTGGATGACATTCATACATTTAGCGATAAGATGAAAAGTTTGTATATACATCTCACAGACATTAAAGTAAATGTATTTATTCTCTATGGAGAGTCTTATACACTTCTCTGGCTCATATCACCCATATTTCTAAGCGATCCTGAAGATAAATTAAATGCATCCCTTAGAAAGGTATGGGTCACGACAAGTCAAGTTGACTTCATACTCATAGGAAGTCTAAAGATGTGGAATCTCCAATTGTTTGATGGGGCCATTTCTTTTCAGATACATTCAGGTGACGTTCTAGCATTCAAAGAATTTCTGAAGTCCATAAAACCTTTGTGGAGACAAAGAGATGGATTTCTAAAGGATTTTTGGGAACAAGCCTTTGACTGTTTCTTGTCTAATTCAGAAATACCAGCAATGGACATGGAAAAATGTACTGGGGAGGAGAATCTCCACAGTCTTCCTGGACCTCTCTTTGAAATGCAAATGACAGGTCATAGTTATAGCATCTATAATGGTATCTATGCTGTGGCTCATTCTTTGCAAGCCTTACTATCAAAAGAATCCAGTCAGAGTAAAACCTTGGTGGATAAAATCCAAGAACTTACAGATCTACCACCTTTTAAGGTAAAGTTGTCCAAAAACTCTGAAAAGGTTTACTAGGAAATGGTTTTTTTTTAATAAATCATTTTTTCCTAAATGATTAGTAAATCACAACTAACTTCTTGGTAAGCTAAAGATAAAATGGGATAGACAGCATTACCACCAGATGGATTTATAACTGGCTGGCAAATCATGCTCAATGTGTAGTCCTCAACTGAACTGCATCTAAATGGAAGGAAGGAAGCAGCGAGTACCACAAAGTTCTGTTTAAGCCCAGTACTCTTCAACCTCTTCATAAATAATTTAGATGAGGAAATAGAAAGGGAACTCATCAAATTTGCACACTAGACAAATTTGTTCACTAGTTAAAGATTCAAATGCATCTTGATGGGCTTGTACATTGGGCCCTATCTAACAAAATGGAATTCAGTGTAGAGAAAAGTAAGATTTACACTTAAGCAAGGGAGAAGAAAATCAAATATATAGCTATATGTCAGGTGAGACCTGGCTCAATATCATTAATTGTGAAAGGGATCTTGAAGTCCTAGTAGGCAATCTTTTAAATATGAGACAGCAGCGTGCAACAGCAGCCTGAAAAGCCAATGCAGTCCTAGGTTGCATTAACAGATGAATAGAATCAAGATCACATGAAGTATTAGTATCGCTTTATAAAGCCTTACTATGACCACTTTTAGAATACTGCATCCAGTGGTGGAATCTAAAACATATTAATAATGTGGTTTGTCTAGTCTAGTGAAAAGAAGGACTAGGGGTGATATAATAGCAGTGTTCCAATGTTTGAGGGGCTGCCATAAAGAAGAAGGGGAGGGGGTGTCAGCCTATTTTCCAATGCACCTGAAGGCAGGACAAGAAACAATGGATGGAAGCGAATCAAGGAGTGAAGCAATCTAGAACCAAAGTGAAAATTCAACAATTAACCAGTGTACCAGTTTGCCTTCAGATGTTATGAGTGCTCCATCACTAGAAGCTTATAAAAAGAGACTGAACAGCCCCTTGTCTGGAATGGTATAGGATCTTCTACATGTACAGGGGTTGACGTCCAAGATCCCTTCCAACGTTGTAATTCTGTTATTCTATTAAGATGAGCTTAGTCTTATTTCCAGACACAATATATCATTCAAATAGCTACGATTAAATCAATCAACATATGATAAACACATATGGAAAATACTGTTCTTCTGCATTTTGGTTAATCTTACCTGTTGTGGTCCACCAGCAGCCTGCGGACCTGGCAGCGGAGTCAGATGGTGAGGAGGCTGGGGAGGACTATGGGCCAGTCCTGGAGTCAGGGGAAGGCCCGGACGAGGGCTCTGTGTCCGAGACAGAGACGGGACTAGGGCCATTTGGGAGCGATGTGTGGCCTATGGAGACTTCAGAAGTGGATAGCAGAGAGGCAGAGGAACAGGAGGAGCCTGTTCCTAGTGCACGCATGAGAAGAGCTGCCAGAAGGCAAGAGCAGCTAAAGCAAAAGGGACAACTTGGGAGTAAGGCCAAGAGATGATTGGCCCCTCCCAGAAGGCTTAAAAGAGGAGCAATGGCTCTTGGGATCTTTGTACGAAAGCAACATTGCTACATTTGTTTCTTGTCTGTGTCATGGGGTTTTGCCAAGAAAAGCCTTTGGCAGAGTCCCAAAGAAGACAAAGTTTTGTGATAAGGCTGAACGACTGTTTATGAAGGATTTGTTTTGGACTTAATTTGGACTAAACTGAGAATGAAGTAATTCTCAGCTGCTCTAATAAAATATGTTTGTTTAGGACTGATTATGTCTGGTAATAACTACTTGTAGGTCACAACACTACCACTGGGTTACATTCAACTTTCTACCCAAGAAAAAATATGTGAAATACTATTCACAGTAATACATTTTTTTTCTATCCATGAAAATGAAAAGCATCGTGCTCATTACTGTATATAATAATTATCTCCATGATAATTCTTGGCATTTATCATATCAAGCTGCATAAAGAAATTTGGAAAGAAGGGGGAAATGTCTCATAGAATGTTTTATCCCTCTATTTTTTTAAACTTCCTCTGTTTCTTCTTTTTTTTTCAAGTAGCTGCACCCATTTCTTCAGAGCATTTCTTTCAACAACTCAGCAGGAGAAACAGTGTCTTTTAACGAAAAGATGGAAATTGCAGGAGGATTTGACATTGTCAACGTGATCACTTTTTCAAACAATTCCATTCAGAGAGTGAAAGTTGGAAGATTAGATCCCAATGCTCCAGAGGGAAATGAATTAATTATTAATGAAGATATGATTGAATGGCATAAAGGTTTTAACCAGGTATGGGTATTTTTGAAAGGAAAAGATTTCAATTAAAATGTTTCCAACCAATCTCTGCTGGCCACAATTCTTCTTTTGTTGTTGTTAGTTGTGAAGTCGTGTCTGACCCATCGCAACCCCATGGACAACTTTCCTCCAGGCCTTCCTGTCCTCTACCATCCCCCAGAGATGATTTAAACTCATGCCAACTGCTTCGGTGACTCCATCCAGCCACCTCATTCTCTGTCGTCCTCTTCCTTTTTTGCCCTCAATCTTTCCCAGCATTAGGCTCTTCTCCAGTGAGTCATCCCATCCCATCAGGTGGCCAAAGTATTTGAGTTTCATCTTCAGGATCTGGTCTTCTAAAGAGCAGTCAGGGTTGATCTCCTCTAGGACTGACCGGTTTGATCACCTTGCAGTCCAAGGGATTTGCAGGAGTCTTCTCCAGCACCATAGTTCAAAGGCCTTAATTCTTTGGCGCTCAGCCTTCCAACTTTCACAACCATACATTGCAACAATTTTTTTTATAGGATGACTAATTTGCTGTATTGTCAGCTGAAGAAAAAGCTTAACGATTTACAAATTACCGCTGCATTTGTTTTTCATGTTATCAACAGGTTCTTCCAGTTTCTCTGTGCAATCAATACTGTCACCCTGGATATTGGAAGAGAAAATCTGAAGAGAACATTTTTTGCTGCTATGATTGTGTTCCATGTCCATGGGGGAAGATTTCAAACAAGATAGGTCAGTTATGAAGTCCTTCAATTTTTGGAGACACTGGCTGCAAAAAAATGTTTTGTCAAACAAGTTACAGATGTATGTGTCAGGGTTCTGACGGATGCCCTAATTTAATCATGAGCCTGGAGCCAAGCTTCAAAAGAAATCCAGTTATTTATTAGAAGCTTCATGTCGGCACGTTCCAAGTGAAGCCAATTCTGACCCCACATAATTTATGACCCAATCTTGACCCTGTTTTCCCCCTCCCCCCAGGGTGTATCATCAGTCACATTCACCAACGGAGCAATTTCGCGGGTTGTAGAGATCACTCCCCTCTGGCTGCTGTGGGTAACCCTGGGAGACAGCCTTGAGAGAGATATGTCTGGAATCTGCTTTCTTTTGGTTGCCGTGCTGCTTCACTGTTTTCCCATCCCCCTTGCCTATGGCAACTTGAGAGCAGGCCATGGATGTTTTGCAAGTTGACAGTGTGTATCTATTTTTTTCTAAAGATGAGGTTTCCCAACCTATAAACAAGGAACAAGCATAATCTCTATAAATCTCAGTTAATAATAATATGTCAAATTTGAGAATATTATGCCAACTTGCAGAATCCTAGCATTCCAACTTGCAGAATCCAAGCATGCCAACTTGCAGAATCCTAGCATTCCATACAATCTCTTCTCTTATAACATTTTTTATGTCAGTAAATGACTTCCTTTTTGATTTTTTTATCCAGATACAGAAGATTGTTTCAAATGTCCTGAAGATCAGTATCCAAGCGAAACGCAAGATCGATGCCTTAACAAAACAATGAATTTTCTGTCCTTTGAAGAACCTTTAGGGATCAGTCTGGCCTCAGCTGCTGTTTCCTTTTCCTTCATGACAATCAGTGTGCTTGGAATTTTCCTTAAGCGTAGAGATACCCCCATCGTCAAGGCCAACAACCGGGACCTCACTTACACTCTCCTTATCGCCCTTCTGCTCTGCTTTCTCTCTTCCTTGTTATTCCTTGGTCAGCCAGGGAAAGTAACCTGCCTTCTCCGGCAACCAGCATTCAGCATCATCTTCTCAGTTGCTGTTTCTTGTGTGTTAGCTAAAACTATTACCGTGGTTGTAGCTTTCATGGCTACTAAGCCAGGCTCTTCAATGAGAAAATGGGTGGGGAAAAGATTGGCTCTTTCCATTGTCCTTTCTTGTTCTTTTCTTCAAGCAGGTCTTTGCATTCTGTGGCTGGCAACATCTCCTCCATTCCCTGAGTTAGACATGAATTCCCTTACAGAAATCATGATTTTGCAATGCAATGAAGGCTCCACTTTCATGCTTTATTGCGTCCTGGGCTATCTGGGCTTCTTAGCTATTGCCAGCTTCATTGTGGCTTTTCTTGCCCGTAAATTACCTGACAGCTTTAATGAAGCCAAGTTCATCACCTTCAGCATGTTGGTTTTCTGCAGTGTGTGGATCTCCTTTGTTCCAACCTATCTGAGTACCAATGGGAAAGCCATGGTGGCTGTGGAGATCTTCTCCATCTTGTCCTCCAGTGCTGGGTTATTGGGATGCATCTTCTTTCCAAAATGTTTCATCATCGAGCTGAAGCCAGAACTAAACACCAAGAAACAATTAATAAAATAATAAAATAAAGTAATAAAATAAGGTTATTGAAGCATGTGAAAGAGTGGTATGGTGGCCTTTTGGTGAAGATTGATGGTGAAGGTTGAAAGTTCAATCCTAGTAGTGACAGATACTTCTTGCCTAAGGCACAAAGACAAAAATATCTGCTGTGAACTCCATGTGGCATCAGGAAGGCCAATGAATGCTCAGCTCCATCTTGTTGCCCTAAGTCTAACCTGAATCATGCTATTACAGGGTCATAAAAAGTGAGGTTTTTCTTTTTTACTATATCACATGAAAGTTATATTTTTTCAAGGATACCAAGTTTAAATGAGATGGATATAATCAGTTAAGAGTTAATTAAATAATTAATTGGGGTTTCTGTATCTCTTAGTTTTTCATGAGAAAAAGGATTACAAAACTGTCTTAGAGGAAATGAATATTTTTTCATTTCCATATACGAAACTCCAATTTTCCTTAAATAAGAAAAAGAAATGAACTGAAAATGAAACCAATTTTAATGTAGGTGATTTGTAGTTCCACCAGCTATTTGGTATATAACATCAATTACATCACTGAAAGTCACTTAAGGAATCTCTCTTCAAAATGGCTTCTCCGTGTTGGCTTTCTTTTTGTAAAATAAATGATGGCATGGTGCAATATGTCATGTGTTGTCGTTCATCTGAGGTGGTATTTATCTACTTTTAAGAACTGCTAAGGGCCAGATAATTTGTTTGTCAGGTTCCGATTGGAAATAAGGACTCCAAACACAGAAGATGAGTCCGAAAGGAGAAGGGCGGTATAGAAGTTTGAATAATAAAAATAATAAATAAGAACCTTGTTTATCCACACAGCACATACTGACCACCACAATGGAACAAAGGAGAATATAGTTAGAGCTCCCGCTCTGTGCTTCCCACCACCTTTTGACGTTCTCACCCCAGCATTTACCTAGCCCCACCCCCACACGAAACCCCAGACCTCATGACCTAGAAGCACTGCCGCTCAGCTGGGTGCTACATCGTCCTGAAGCGTCTGGGTCCATTCTGGGCATGCTGTGGTGAAGCTGCGGCCCACGCAGCAGTCCTGGCCACTCCCAGATGATCGGGCATATGCAATGCCATCAGGAGGCACCTGCCTTTCACCCAGGCATGCAATGGCAAAAGTGCAGCTCCCAAGTCAGTACTGGCCACCTCTTAGCTGATCGGGCCATTTGTGGTTCCTGAAGGCAGGCCCAGCAGGTGGAGGTGGTATGCAGCCACAGCCGCAGCCAAGTTGTCCCCCTGGCTAGCCCATTGTGTCCCCGCTGTAATGGCAGCCTCAGACCAGACTTGCTGGGGCTGACATTGTTACTATATCCTGATGCTTAAAACCATAGAACTCAAAGAGTATATTCTCTTTTTCACATCATTGTACTACATATGAAACATCAAAAGAATGTATGAATATATGAGCTTCCAAGTCTGTCCAATACTTGTATTAATTCATTCAGGATTGATATTTGGGGTATGCTATAGTGTGTCATTGGTATGAAGATGACATACAGCTCCCATTCCCTGTCAGATCTGAGCCATAGATATTGTAAACACTTTGTGTGCCCTTCAACCACTTTGAGTACAAGGTGAATTGCACTGTTACAGATATTGTAGAATCCCACAACTGTCTGTAAACAGAACCAAGAAATACTATACTCATAGTTAATGCATGCAATTCTTTGACATAAGAAATTAAACTAATTCCAATATATTTTGGAAGTGTTAAAAATGAAATTGCTTTATCTATTGTAATCCCATTACAATAGGGCAGAGTGATAGGTATAAAGGAAAATTATATGGATTGATTGGTGTTCTCGGACACAAATCCATATCCTCAAATGTCTTTGCATTCTGAATGAAGTAAAATAATTATTTTTATTTAATTATTCAAAGAAGTTTTCAATTGACTGGTACCTATTATTTGACAAAGATAAAAGGAGATGCTACCAAGTACACAAATTTACACTCAACATGAAAAGGTTGAATAGGTAATTAATTCTCCCTGGAATTGTCCAGATCAATATAATTTGTCTATCTGCTCAAAGCTCCAGAGGTTATTTAAAGATGAGAACAAACCCCCAAATATGTTATAAACTAATCTGAGTTCCATGGGGTGTTTGGAGTTCCATGGGGTGTTTGGTATTTGTTTTTCATTTTACCAGAAAACTGCAAGATACGAGCTCTGGAAATCTCAGTCAGTCAGTCAGGACTCAAATTGTATCTCTGCCAAAGTAACATTTTGTTTGATAATTTTCTCTTAAGAAACATGCTGAGAAAAGCCACTTTGCTAAATCAAGTAATCTGTCTTGGTTAATACAGAGAACACAATTTTTAGAAGAATTTTTTTGCTGCTGCTATGTTGTTCTTTCTGATATTTTCATCGATCATATATTCAGCGAATACTCTAAAGTGTCATGCAGATCCTTTTCTGGTTCTGTATGAATGGTACCAGCCAGGTGATATTCTCATTGGTGGGATGACTTCTCAAATCATATACATTTTCAACCAACAGTTGTTTGAAGAATATCCAAATCAAAAGCTGTTTAACATTCCAAAGTAAGCAAGAGTCTAATGTTACATTGCTTCTTGTCAGTTGCCCTGAGTACAGCAAAAATAACAAATAACAGATAACATATAACAGCTTGCGTATCTACAAATAACAACAGGCTAAAGAAGATGAATAAAGACCTTACACAACCTGATTATTTCCCAAGTTTTCCTAGAGTGTCTAAAGGTAAAGGTAAAGGTTGCCCTCACACATATGTGCTAGTCATTCCTGACTCTAGGGGGCGGTGCTCATTTCTAAGCCAAAGAGCCAGCGCTGTCCGAAGACGTCTCCATGGTCATGTGGCCAGCATGACTAAACGCCGAAGGCGCATGGAACACTGTTATCTTCCCACCAAAGGTGGTCCCTATTTTTCTACTTGCATTTTACATGCTTTCGAACTGCTAGGTTGGCAGAAGCTGGGACAAGTAATGGGAGCTCACTCCATTACGCGACGCTAGGGATTCGAACCGCCGAACTGCTGACCTTTCTGATCGAGAAGCTCACAGCCTTAGCCACTGAGCCACCGTGTCCCTTTAGTTAGAATGTCTAACTCCAGACAAAGTGAGATTTTGAACTTTTATTCTTTTTTTTTTTAATTTTAAAAATGCACAAAATGACTGTGTAGAGTTTAATTTTGGGAAGTGTTTTAGAATTTCTAATTGGTAAACATGAAGAAATTTCATACTTCATGCATACAGGGGAAATTGACTATAAGGTAAAGTATCTGTGCGTTGTCTCTCTAATCTAGTCTTCTGCCTGATTTGTTTTAGATGAATTTTGATGAGACTTCAGGTTCTTCTTTTCCATCTTTGTTCCATAAATAAGAATACTCTCTTCTTGACTTTGGTAGGATATATATTGTTAGAAACTACATTTTCTTCCTATCTTATATATTTCTGTAACTAAGACTTATGTTCTGCTAAAGTTACCAACTCCGCTTCAATTGTCTTTGCAGATGTTGGTCATCACTATTCAAATTGCCAACTAGTTGAATATGATGCGCTACTGCATAACATAAAATACTGTAAGGCTTTTAGAATTGCTAAAGATGAGTTAGGTCATGAAGAAATCAGGGATAGGGATCTGACGGATCATGGAACAGCTTGCCTTCAGTAGTTGTGGGTGCTTCATCACTGGAGGCTTTTAAGAAGAGACTGGATAGCCACTTGTCTGGAATGGTATAGGGTTTCCTGCCTGAGCAGTGGGTTGGACCTCCAAGGTCCCTTCCAAACATATTATTCTGTATTCTATTCTGCATTGTGATTCATATTAAGGTAAAGGTAAAGGTTCCCCTTGCACATATGTGCTAGTTGTTCCTGATTCTAAGGAGAGATGCTCATCTCCATTTCAAAGCTGAAGAGCCAGTGCTGTCTGAAGACGACTCAATGGTCATGTGGCCGGCATGACTAAATGCCAAAGGTGCACAGAACGCTCTTACCTTCCCACCAAAGGTGGTCCCTATTTTTCTACTTGTATTTTTTTTTTACGTGCTTTCAAACTGCTAGGTTGACAGAAGCTGGGACAAGTAACAGGAGATCACCCTTTTACGCGGCACTAGGGATTCGAACCACTGAACTGCCGACCTTTCGATCGACAAGCTCAGCATCTTAGCCGCTGAGCCACTGCGTCCCTTGCATTCATATTACTAGATTCATATTACTAAATTCATATTACTAGATGGAAAAAAAATTAGCCATGATATCCCTCTACATTACAAAATTACAAGAGGGAAAACCATTTTAGCCAACCCAATTTTTAGAAAGACAATGAAAAAATATGTAGGAACTGGCACAAAATTCCAACTTTAAATAACATTTCTTTGAAAATAAATATGCATATATTCCCTGGGAACAGAAAATCTTCACATCTATCCTTCTCACAGAGTTAGATCTTTTCTACTGATCTTGGCCTTAAAACCTAATCCTTTATAAAATGTGCATGTATTTAATTTGCTGAAGATAATGAACTATCTTATTTTCATTAAACCATTTGGACTATTGTTAAGGGTGATGTTTAATTTTGAGATATCAAAAAAATGGTTTTCTGAATCCAATTAAAATTACAGGGGGAAATGAGACTTCAACCAATTTTCTTACTGAAGGGTTGTTTTTCCAAATGTTTCCTTTCTTTGCAGCATGATCCCAAAGTTCTACCAGCATGTCCTCTCTTTGGTCTTTGGTATAAAGGAGATCAATGAGAATCTACAAATTTTGCCCAATGTTACCCTTGGCTTCCACATCTGTGACAGCTACTACAGTGCCAGAATGACCTATCGGACCACTTTGGACCTACTTTTCAAATCAAATAGATTTCTCCCAAACTATAAATGTGTCTCTTCTAAAAATCTCATAGCCATCCTTGGAGGACTTGAGTCTGATACTTCATCCCATATATCAGACATTATAGAATTCTACAAGATACCTCAGGTTGGTTGAAAA